CTCAGGTGTTTCTGAAGAATGTTTACAACAACATTAGACACATCTTAATCAGCTTTTTCTGGAACACTGCTTAATAAAATATATTTTCTGCGCTGTCTTGTCTCAATGGAGTCAACTGACCGACTAATCTCTGCTATTTCTGGTGAATCAGGTTGAACATGTCTTGAACAAAGTCCCGAAAAGACGTAAAATCCTGACCAGCCTTCTCAACGGCAACAGCCTTGGAAGAACTGGAACCGACCTGCTTCTCAAACTCTTACATCTTACGAGTGATTAACGCTTCCAGGGACCTCTGAGTTCCTTCTGAATTCTCTATATTAAATCCATACAGAGTAGAAGTATTTAAATGTTCATTATAGTTTGAATTAACTTATATCTCACTTGCACAAGTAACCTTACCACGTTTTTCATATTCCTATATTATTATCCGATTCTGAGCTATGCTTAAAATTATGCGAAATTTTATTTTCTACAATAATTGTTTGTATAACTTTTGCCTAGTTTCCGAGTGCATAGTTTCCGAGATATCGTCTGAAAACGTTTTTTCAAGATGGCGCTTGAAGCGCCACCTGTTCATTAAATGGGCCATAAATCGTAAACGGTAAGTTTTACAAAAAAGTTTGCTGGAAACAAATGATGCGAAATTTTATTTTATACAATAATTGTATTTATAATTTTTGCCTTAAAGTGCATTGTTTCCGAGATATCAGCTGAAAACGTTTTTTCAAGATGGCGCTTGAAGCGCCACCTGATCATCAAATGGGCCATAAATCGTAAACGGTAAGTTTTACAAAAAAGTTTACTGGAAACAAAAGATGCGAAATTTTATTTTCTACAATAATGGTTTGTATAACTTTTGCCTTAAAGTGCATAGTTTCCGAGATATCGGCTGAAAACGCTAAGACGCTGTGGCGCTATGAATATCGCGCAATCGCGCGCGGCGTCGGCAAGAGCGGCATGTAGCTATAGTAGGTGGTCTCGCTCGCGAGCACGCTGTTGTGAGAGGACGTGTTCCGCAAATTTATAAGCGACAGTAGCCTAATGGCAGGGCGCGGACCGCGAACTCACAAAGGTCGTGGTTTCGAATCCACCATTCGACTACTGGCGTGAACCACTCATAACACAAGCAATTTAAGCTTACCATGAGTGGTTAAGAGGAATATTAGTAAAGTTTATAGTATTGTTAATATTCTTTTTCCTTTTTTTTTAAATTTGAACTAGCAGCACGCTATTCATCGCGCGCAACCTAGTTTAGTGTTATACGTGGTTAGTTATGAAGTAGTAGTTTATAGTGTATACTGTATATAAATAATAGGTTATAAAACTGTTTGAAAACAAACTAAGTACCATGGAGTATAGAGGTAAGGAGAACAATCTCCCATAGGAGAATAGTTGAAAATGTGTCCATCTGAAAGCAGTAAATTACAGTTCAATAACAATACAGGGTATGATAAATCGCCGTAAAATACGTTGAGAGTGGTTTTGAAAATAAAAAGTTTGAAAGCAATAAAATAATTATTGTAAAAAGAATTCTGGTGAAAGTCTGTACAGTAAAAAAATTATAAAAAGTTCTGTAAAATTTAGACTGTAGTTACAGTGGCACCCTTATTTAGCGTTTTCTTACGGACACTTTTTATACAGTCTGTACTCCTTACCTCTACACTCCATACTAAGTACCTATGACGAGACGCGATTATTTCCGATAATACAATTATATGCGTATTATCGGAAATAATCGCGTCTCGTCGATTTATAATTTAATTATGAAGTTATCTATATTTCATTACAACGTGTATAGTTTTTTATCTCTAATTTAAATTCGAATCTTTCAAACAAAGCAAAATATTAAAAAGTTACTAGTATCAACTTTTTTACTTGACTTCGTTTCAATGATATGTCGCTATGTGCCTTATCGTAGTGTTTGGATGATTAAAATTCATTGTTATGCGAATAATCGGCAAAAATATTCAAATAATCTGTATATTTTTACCGAATTATCGAATCATTATTTTTTTAATGTATTAATTGCTTAATTAAATTTTTATTATTAAAATTCCTTTAACTACATGAATCATGAACAAAACAAGTTTTGTTTTACTTTCTGTACGTAAATTTGTGCTGGCAAAAAACCCACAAACAAGGTCGCGCTTAAAAAAATACTGCGTAACTTCAATATCCCGCCATCTCGGGAGCTTACTGTGCGTAATTTCGTAATTTTGCGTTTGTCTTCTTATTTTGTGACTCGGCTTTTACTTTTTTGGCTGATTGGCTGTTTCTTCAATATTCGTTTAAGCATGTGTCACAAAAGATGATTGACCAAAAGTGGTAGAAAAAAATATTGATTAGGGATGACTTTGAAAGAAACATTAATTTTGACTGCATTATTGAAAATCAAATAATAATTAATCTAAACAACGACGGCTCAGCTAGTTGTACTGAAAGTGATTGAATAAATTTATATTTAATCGAGTTTCAATCTTAATTTTTTATTACTGTGCCTACAGAAATAAGCAGTAACAACAAATACAAAAAACTGAAAAAAATATACGTGTTTCTAATTTATTCTGGTGTTATTCAAATAAAACTCTAAATAAACCAATAAAGCAAATGATTACAACTCTAAATAATCGAAATCTTTTTTTTTAAGAATCGAATATTGTACGTTCCCATTTTTTGGTTGGCATGCTTGGTGCAATAAGTCTTACAGCTGTCAAAATGTATTTCTTAGATTTGGTTGACTATAGTAAGTAAATAATATATCGCACGCGGTATGTCGAACGAACTACATGTAATGTAACGTGCTACGAGATTTAGCGTGCTGCAAGAATTTACGCTTCCTTATAAATAGCGCGCTATTGATGAAGAACTTAATAGCGTGCTAAAAATTATAATTTATAGTCATTAGCGTGCTATTGATTTATAGCCGTTTTGAACAACTCTAGTGTGCGAAAGCATTTTCGTTGCCATAAGTATACAACGAAAATCGAACGTCGGCTAATGTTAATATGAGTCGGAAAGGCATTACTAGTCTTTGCCCTAAGATAAAAGGCTATGGTAATTAGTACTCTGGTTCTACTACAACTATCTTACATGTGAATTGTATGACCTGCTGTTCATTTATTATTAAGGACGTATACGAAGCGAATGACCTTGCTCGTTTCCTGGCGAACCGTGCGCTGTCTATCGAACATCACGTGCGTTAGCCGTACGAGTGCGCTAGCTTGGTATGCAGAGTAATGAATAACAGAGAAAGCATTGCTCACTTCTTAATTAAATCTTTCTTATATATAATATTAGTTCCTACCGATGATAAATTCTATACTTTATTCGTTACAAACATACAAATATAATAATCTTTCCTCTTATATTAGTATAGATTATAAGTTCTGTAAAGTTATTCTGTATAGAAAAATTATTGAATTGACATCGATTTTTTTTGAATTGTTGCATCTTACGTAAAACACATCACGTAACTGAATTGTAAACTGTTTGTTCTTGTGAGTTTTACAAGATGCTATAATTCAAATCGCATAAATAATAAAGAAAAAATTTAAAAAGTCCCTGTTTGCCTAATAGTAGGGGTAGGTACTGTGTATGTAAATTCTCACAAGACTACTTCGATCGGTCAGTCACTTAATATCCGTAGTATGTCGGTTTTTCTTAATTATGTACTTACCCCATACTTACGGACAATACATTGACTATGACGTTATTTGCGGGCTGTGTGCTTGCACTACTCTGTATATTATTTTCCGACTCGGTCGTGATATTTACATTTTTAGAGTTTCTCACTTCATCACGCAGAAACGTATAGATAATTTGTTTCGCTAATGTAAATTAGTAAAAATCCATCCCATTGGGCATCCTCCAACAAAAAGTACCATACAAAAAATATTACCTCAAAGTGGAAAGTACCACATTCGAGGAGCGTTCTTGAGATAAACTCTCTTTCTTTTGCCACTTAAGTAATATTTATTTCTTTTCCTACGTTTATTCACATTTACAGTCACTTAAACGAGTGTAAACCCTAAATTAACGATTTTCAATACAGACATAACTGACTATTGTCACCTTACGCCACACATCGAAGCGCCTGGTAATTTATGATGGTAAACTTTTATCTGGCAATATACAATATTACTGCTAGGCGTTTGTAATTAAAACGAATTATATTAATAAAAAAACATTGTATCGCAAAAGGTAGAAAATGAAGAAGGCATGCACCTTCGGAATCACAATACAAATATTTTGACGTAAAAATAATTTTTACTAAACTTACATTCACAGAGTTTTGGAAAAAATAATAATTTTGAGATATCATTCCTTAACACATTTTTAAATTGGTATGTCGACTTATTTTAAAATTATAAAAAGGCAGACACCTTGTGAAAGAACCGAACAAACCTACAAAAGTATGTTTTAACGCTTAGAATTACTTCAGGTAAAATTCTAGTGAACAGAAATACATAAAATTTCGCTAGTTCTCTTCGTATTCGGCCTTTAGTTTAAAAACAAATGTTAATTATCAAATATTAGAATTGGATAGTTTATATTGTGGATTCTTTTTAAATAAAACAATAAAGTTACACCTTAATTTTTTATATATTGTTATAAGAACGCAAGTGAACAATGGTCCAACAAGCTCACTTCTTACACCTAGACATAATATTTGATTAACATTTCACTAGCTAACTACGTAGCGGTAACCGCCTATTAATGAGCACGGAAAATTCGTTCAAAACATTGATACAGAAATCATTGACATACATTTTAAATCAATGATACAGATGGACAATATGGACTTTAAGGCCCCTCGTTGGGGCTTAGAACTAGGCCCTGACACGTTCAATTACAATAAGACCTATTTCTCTATGTGATCACTTTTTTTAAATTGTCTTTTTTGTTTTTAATTGCTTACATTGTTGCCTAGGATTATGATTTAAAATAAAGCAGCTTTTGTATATTTAAAATTTATGGTCAGATAGTGGTGGGTTCTCAACGTCCGTAAGTAGTGGGTCGTTTTCTTCTTCGAGGCGAGAAGATCTCGAACTATACCTTGACGTGGATACTCTTTGCGTGAATATAAGGATGTTAGGCACAAGTGCTCCACAAGGCGTGGCTGGAGCAGATCGCGAAGATATTCTTGACCCTGGAGATATCCTCGACTGTCTACCGGAGTGAGCAATTGACAATGGCATATAGAGACTAGATTTTCTCGCTTTAAGAGTTTTTCTGACGTTTTCTAATCGCCTGCTCCTTCTTTCCGATCTCTCGTCGCTTGGTATATGTAGGGTAGATTCCTTTGATGTTTGTGTGGGGCTGGTTGGCTGTGGAGGAGATTCACAGGCACCGGCGTTTTCTTCTGAAGGACTAGAGAAAAGATTGTGCGGTCCGTACGCTTCATGGTCATAAACTTTGTGATTGACGTTGGAGTGTGAGCGATGAGCTGTTGGAGATGTGCCTAATCGCGGCTTGCAACCTCCATCACAATACATCTCGTAGTCAATCAATTCCAGCTCCAAATCAAATGCTGCATCCTGCTAAGACAAATAATTAGACATTAATACTAGTTATTTATTCATTATTCATTTACAACTTAACTAACCGTAAAAAAAACTAGTATACACTTTGGACATAATCATCATCATTAAAGACCTTTACAAGTCTACTGCTGAACGTAGGCCTCCCCCAAGGAATGTCACAAAGGGACACGGTCCTGAGCCACCTGCATCCTTCGACTTCCTGCATGTCTTACCAGATCGTCACTCCATCTAGTGGGGGATCACCCTAGATTTCACCTACTGGTACTAAGGTACCACTCGAGTACCTTTTTCCCCCATCGGTTGTCGGTTCTTCGATCTATATGGCCTGCCCATTGCCATTTCAGCTTACTGATCCGTTAGGCTATGTCGCTCATCCTCTGGTTCTACTGCAGATATCCTCATTTATAAATTTATCACGCAGAGAAACCCCGAACATAGTCCTCTGCATAGCTCGCCGAGCAACCTATAGCTTCTTCATACGGCCAGAATTGAAAGGCCACGTCTCAGATCCATAAGTCATCACAATTTTTTTTGTACTTTATTGTTTTCAAGTTTTGAGGTATACCTGACGAGAACACGTGTCGTAATTTCTCGAAAGCTGTCCAGCCATGTTGAATCCGTCGATTGATCTTTCAGTCGAAGTTGGAGTTACCTAGTCGGACTGTTTGTCAGGTACTCGTCAAAATCTTCGAGCTTAGTGCGCCCAACAACTACTGGCATAGGTGTGATATGGACGTTACACATGATCTTTGTTTTGTCAACCGGCAAATCGAAGTTGGTTGATGTATTCGTCATTGATGTCAATACCGTGTCTTTTCCAGTCTAGTAGCTTGAAAACGTCTTCCAATACAGCGGTAAAGAGTTTGGGTATATAACGTCACCCTATCTTACACCTCTCTGCAGTCGGATAGGTTTCGTACTCTTGTTCTGTATTCGGATAGCCATCGCAGCCCTACTGTACAAACACTTTAGCACTTCGATACACCGACAGTCAACTTAGCACCGATGAAGGAACAAATTTCGACGGAATCAAAGGCTTTTTCACAGTCCACATACGTGATACATAGTAGCAGATTGTACTCCTCTGTCCTCTGTACAATTTGACACAGAGTATGTATGTGGTCTATGGTGCTAAAGCTTTTTCGGAAACCAGCTTGTTCGGGAGGCTAGAAGTCGTCTAGTCAGCGTGAAAGACGATTCGTAATGACTCTCGAAAACAACACGTAGATGCGTCTTAGAAGGGAAATCGGCCTGTAGTTCTTCAAGAGAGCGTTGTCGCCTTTCTTGAATAACAAGAACACCGCACTTCTGCTCCACACCTCCGGAGTAGCACCACCATGGAGGATGGAATTAAGGAGCTTCTGAAAGCGAAAAGAAAGTTATGGAGAGCCATTCTAATCTCGCTCGAATATCATTGAAATAGTGTTACATAAGAATTGCTCTCGGATCGTTACTCACACTTGCGTGTGGCTCTAACGATGATTACGCAATCTCTCTCAAAATCTCAGGTATCCCAGAAACGATGCTGCCACATCCGGTCTTTAGCTTCCACAGTTGGCTCTTTCTGACAGACAGATCTCTGGCAAATATTTTGGAGCTCCGGTTTCGTTCGATCGTTTTTTCAATATGAGCTGCATTGAAGTTGATGTCCCACTGCGTGCATTGCAACTGTCTGTTCAGTTGCCTGCATGCTGTCAAATCTTCAAATCGTCCACTGCATTGCAGTCTCCTAGACAATGAAAAGGATTATGTTATTCAAGCTGAAAGTTATCGGGGCTTTGGATTAGAGCAAGAGGAGGACGAAGCGTTGATTTCATTAAACATGACCTCTCCAACTAACGTTTAGTCAGATTTCTGATGATGTAAATGCTGTTAGGCTTTTTGGCTTTTACAGCTTCATCGGTCTCAGGGCTCGCAGTTTGATTGCTGCCAGTTTTCACCCTCACGATCACTGAAACATCGCTGTAACAGCTGCTGTGAACAGTTGCCGTGTAGTCCTCATAATAAAGTCAATTTTGTTTTTCGTTGAACCGTCGGGGCTCGACCAGGTCCACTTTCAGTGGGGCCGCTACTGGAAAAAAATCATCATAAAGAATCCCTTTTGTCCATGAAGTCGGCCAGCTGCTGGCCCCTTGAGTTCCGTTGGCCGATCCTAAATTTCCCTACTTTCAGCTCACCGTACTCTCTGGTGCCTAGTTTTGTGTTGAAGTCTCCTCCTCCGCATCGGGATGTGCCGAGGTTGGTGCATAAACCTGTATGAACTTCAGCGTTATACCATTTGGTGATTCTGAGTATATGGTATGCAACCCTCGTCGAAACACTCTCAATCCTTACATCGATGTTACGGACTTGTGGACGATATATGCGACACTTCCTTGGGACAGATGGTCGCCCTCCAGTTGATAGAACAAGTTGCCGGATTCGAGGATTGTCATGTCATCCCACTCTCTTCGGACCTCAGATAATCCTATAATATCTCAGCAAAACGTATGTTCTCAGGTCGAGTCGTCTTAGGTAGCAACCGAACCTCCGCCGGAAATTCTTAGCACCTCCTGCCTTGCCGTTACCATGGTCGCCACCGTAACCAGAAATAGAGGGGCCACCGGGGACTGGGGGCCGCCTCTTTGTAACCGTCATCATGGGGGGTATATTGCCATAGTTTCCACGATTGACATGAGGGTACACTCGCAGGAACACTTTGGATATACAATATTGAATAGTCTCAATTTTAAGGTAAGAAAATATTAACTATGTTTTTGTTTGGGGATGCCCTATTACATTTTCGACGGTTAATATCGAAACATCGTTAGACAGGTTTCCTTAAAATACTTACGAGGTAACATTAACTACACTATTATCGTCCAAATAGTCGTAAATTTTAAAGTTTTATTTCGAACACGTTAATATAATATCGATTACATTAAATATAATAATTATAAAGCTCGTATTAATGAACCATAACTAGTACAAAATTTTAAATAACATAGATAATAAATAATAAGATAGGGTCAGCTGTCCCTATCTTATTGGTGTGTCCATGTGTCCAAATTTTTGTATGTATGTTACGTGAAACTTCACTTCACCTCCAGAAGGTCACGTAATTTGATACTCCTGTTGGCTCATGACCAAAATGGCGGGAATTGCAAATTTTTTGCTAACTTGCGAATTTTGCTATATTTTCACTTTGAGATAATATTTATGGATAAAACTTAAAGGAATTCTTATTGAATGTATAAACTATGGAATAAAATTATTTTTAATTGCTAGAAATTGTAATAAAATTCATAAATTACCCTTTAAAGCATAAAAGTAGTAGATACTTCACTTTTAGTCACAAAATTACTAATAATTTAAATTCTACACGTTTGTTTTTTGAGAAATCTATATGAAAATGTTTTGAAATATGTATATTTTTATGTCTTATGTGCTTCTGTTCGTTACTCATACCTAAATATTAAAAAATAAATAATTAAAAAGAAATCCGAAATTCATTGTTATTTGTATGAAATTTCAAACAATATTTCAAATATATTTTTGTGTGAATTTTAAATAAATACGTCAAGTTATTTGAAATATGTTATAAAACTATTTTTATTTACATTTTACACTAAAAATAAATGAGAATTGGAAAAAATAACACATTTTTGACCCAACCGCTAAAACGGACCTTTTTGATTTCGAAGTGTTTTTGCGCTTACTTTTCACTTTTTATGCCACAAATTATACGATTACATTCGATTTGATAAACCACAAATCCTCGCAAAAGAACACCGATTCGAGAAGATGGATGGGTGCTGCCATCTGCTTGGGATCCTATAATTAACAAAATTAAACCCAATCCCAATCGTACCACTGCAAGACATCATGATACTATAAGCTCATTTTGCGTAAATCGGACCAAAAAAAATAATATTCAAAAACTGAAGGTAGCCGGACTAACTATGACATTGGGACGTCAAACATCTCTGTCCCCCCCGTGACCATGGGTGCTGTAAAGCACCCGAAACGTCGGGATAATAAAAATAAATTAAAGTAATTAAGCGCTATAAAATCCGTAGATCCTTTTCTTATTAAATAGACTTTGTGCACCACCGGACAGATTTTGTTCACGTTGTCTATTAAGTAGTATATATTACTTCAAAGGTTTTTACATCGTCTTTGTTGGTTTGAGTATTTTTATCAAAAGTGTAGTTTTGTAATGAATGTTCAGTGCGTTATGAATTATTGTTCGTGGCGATGCTCACTAGCGGCTCCACGGGTGAAGCGATGAGGTTCTCGCGGAAATTGGCAGAGGGCTCGCGGCGCGTTGTGCTGCGCACCTCCGCCCGCGCGTACCCCGCACACCCCGCACACCCAGCGCCGCACCCAGCGCCACACTCCTCGTAGTTGCTCGCGCAAGAGTACGGAGGCGGTATGATCGAGTTAGCCTGCCAATTAAAATTTTATAATTTAGTTTAGAAACAGGTAATATCCTTTTTAATTTTGTAAAAAAATATATATACAAGTGTGACAGTGGGGTAAGTGTAACAATTAATGCAAATTATACAGCCTAAACACGGTATTTGGTTAAATTCCATCTATTAAACAACGCAGGAAATACGCTATTGACTATACTGACAGTTAAGTACATAGCTTCAACTATTTTATCAACAGACGTTATTTTTTAAAACTACTCAACTAGCGACAGACCGCGCAATTTTAAGAAGTGAGGTTATTAAGTGTTTCGACATGTCATTAAATTATTTTAAACCAGATACAAGGTGAGTGATAAAGAACAATATTAGTGCTCATAGAGTAATATATCTGTCACCTGAAATCCACTATTCCTCCCAAAACGGATGCAGTTACACTTACCTCACCTAATATCTAAGTAATCTAATATAATATACTAATATAATATTTTTTTTATTTTACGGCTCTAGGTACTAGCCCTTCTGAGCCTATCATTTCTTTCAGAATCTTCATTTTATATATTTTTTTCTTCACAATATGATGATGCGTCACATTGCGAAGTTTTTGGGAAATTTTGACGACAGCTCAACCGACAGGTCAACCCAGCGGACAGTTGATGACGACAGCCACTCAAGTTCATGAGGCGCCCAAGCGATCAAATTAACTTGAGGTTTACATCAACATCAATGCACTTGTTTCGTCGTTTTCTCTAATAGTTCACACGCGCAGATACTTTATTCACAAAATCACATCACTTTTACAAATTAAAATCCACTTCAAACCATTATTCAAGCGACAAAACAGGAGCGACAGTCCGTCGTCGGCCAAGTTCCCGCCAAAACTCTATAGGTAATATAATAACATAATCGGGGTAAGTGTGACAGCGCCACGCTTACCCCGATCATCTTATATGAGAATAGCGTAACTATAAACTACTTATAATATCGTAATTATAGTGATGGGACAGCCTATCATTTTTAACAGACTTTCAAAAAAGTTGAATGCTATTTATATGTATTTAAATTAATACCAAGGAATAAATACAAGTCAAAGAAAAATGTCAGAGGATGTCAGAAGCAAAAATAATAAATGCTATCATAACAGATATAGAAGAAAGATACAAGTACAATTTGATTTTAGAATAAAATAATACGTACTGTAATAGGCAATACTATGTTGGGCGTACATAATATTGAATAGAATGTTCGGTTAAAAGTATTGTATTATAAACATTATGTAGACCAAAATAAAAGAAAACCCTAATGTGTTTTGTTTTTGTTAAACAAGGATGATGACTTTACAAAAAGAAGCGTACTGTCACACTTGCCTCATTGATAATAATAATTATTTGTTTGCGCGTCAAATATTTGTTTAGATATTTAAAAAAGTTAGGCGGGTGCTGTGAAATAATAAATTTTTATTTTTTGCTTAATAATGACGGTAAAGGAATAATTAAACAATCCGAAAAATATTAGTGGGATAGACGACTTTTTCGAGGTTATATTTACTAAATAAAATTATTTTAGAGCTACTGAGCAGCACACTTAAACCATCGACAACTGCTAAGTTCATTTCATCCCAGTATCTACTCCAGCGCATTAGTGGAGAGTTTTTGAACTGTTATTTACTGCTTACAGATGGCCACTTTTTCAACCATTCTACTATGGGAGTTGGTACTCCTTACTTCTACACTCCATACTCTTTAGGAAGCTGTTGTTGCCAACTAAAGAAATAAGCGCTTTAAGCGCTAGCGTACTAGGGATATTGCACTCTCGAGCTCGGATGCTGCGGCTGAGGTTATGGGATTATTTAATTAATTATTTACGATGTAAATAAATAACTTATGGATAAACTGATATCGGGTGCTAATTGCGCATGTGAAAATCTACAAATTTACATTGTTTAATTATTCTTTTACCGTCATTTTTATGCAAAAAATAAAAATGTATTATTTCACAGCACCCGCCTTATTTTTTTAATATCTAAACAAATATTTCACGCGCAAACAAATAATTGGTACCGATAAACATAATTTTTTACGCGCAATCGATTTATACTAGTCACATTATTAATAATTATTTCCGGGTGCCAACTTCATGGACCTCCCCCCCGTGACCATAGGTGCTGTAAAGCGCTCGGAACGTTGGGTATTTAAAAAGTTAAATATACACGATAAAATCCGTAAAAACTAGTATTATTTAAATGTGTAGTATTCGCGTAAATATAAGAAATCATTAATCATATCTAAGTTCTCATAAACCATTTTTTTATCCATATCGAAGATTTGTTAGAAATAATGTTGTTTGGCGCTTACTTAGTTTTTTTCCGAGCGTGTGCTCGGTATGGCTATCTCATAATTTGCGTATTATGAAGTCATTGCATCACTTTCATTTTGACACACTCGCAGTCGTCCGTTAGCTTCAACAACAAATGAATAAGGCACGCCCCCAAAACTACGATTCACTTTCAAGATATTTTATGCTGGTATTTTGTGAGAGCGTGGTCCTCCCCCATAATATAGCTGCAGTGTGACTCTACCACGTGTGTGTTTTTGCTTTTATTAATGTTACCAGGTTCGTTGTTGTATGACTAACATATTGTTTTGCTTTTTTAACCGAATTTTAAAACAATAACCATTGAAGCATCTCTAACATTTGTTTATAATAAATCAATAATTTTTTTTAATCGTTTACGATTACAGTCAAAGTCGAAGTTGTTAAAGATTCGAAATATAAAGCGAATGAAAACATAAAAAACACAAAAATATTGTTTTATTTACTTCATTTGCTGCGTTGCATATGAAGCTTGAGTTCAGAGACTCTGCAGTACTCGTCGCAGATAGAGAACCTGGAAAAAGAAAAGAACTATACAGCATACTAACAAAAATATTCCTTGTCTGAAGCACATTTGACAATTTTTTTTATTACAGCGTGAAATTGTTTATTTATTTATTTATTTCGAAAAAAAAACCAACAGCGTATACAGAAAATATTTAACATTAATGTAACAAACTAAAAGTATGACCAATAACAGGTTTCCCTTATATTGCTTGATGGTATATTGTTGTTGGAAGAAATACAAATAAAAACAATCCAAAAGACAAATCATAAGCAATTTAGTGTAACGAGGGTGGTCACAAGCTTACAGATAAGTTGAGTTCTTTGGAGGGTCTGGTAGATTGATATTATATATTACATAAATGCATATACATACACACATACGCATATACAAACATACACATATATACATATGTTAACATACTCACTCATACCCCTCGTCAATATCGAAAATAAAATTTCATTAATTAAAGGGTAAAAGTCCTTTTCCATACGGCCAGTGCTGAAAGCAGCCCTAAAACACCTCCTAATTTTCCTTTCAATCGAATATGGACATAATGATACGTTATGATTGAACCAGAGCCAGATTTAATAAAAGCGGGCTAGGTACCGCAGGAGGTCACAACAATGCAACTTCGTTTATTTTTCAAAATTATTGATATGCTAGGAAAAAAATAAATTTTTATTGTTTGAATTGTTTTCCTAGCTTCTATTTCTACATTGCCAAGTTTTTAATCTTAATACCTTTTAATCCGGCCCTGATTACTGGGAACTATTTCCTAGGATTACTAGTAATTAAAGCATGTGGATAGCCGTGTAGTGGCGGTGAGAAAACCTATCACCAAATAAGAAAGCCAAGAAGGTCACTTACTATCAGAATACACATTACGCAACAGGACGTACCGTAACCGTAATAAAAATAAGAAGCGCCTGGGTTGGCGTAAAGAAACAGGCATAAATATGATAAACCTAATGAAATAAGTATCTAACGACTTATCAACTTACAGTATTAGTGATTACAAACATGTCGGTACATAGCATACGAAGCGCGGGGCCTTACTATAGCCCCTTAATGCCTAACGAAAAAAATGTGCTTACAACTTTTATTCACTAGCGCTCGTAGCCTATGCCGCGCCATTCAAAATAATATCACTTATTTTTAATTTTACGCAAATACCGTAGGAAATTTAGCATTATCAGTCATATTTTATGAATTCTTTCGTGGATAGCTTCTATTCCACTTACACAAAACACATATTATTTTCCAGACGGTAAAAAAGTCACCCAGTATAGTTCAAAGAACTGTCAACCGATGGGAAAAAATGTTTTTCGAGTGGTAACCTCGTATCAGCGAGCGAAGTGTAGGATGATCTATGTCATGCCTAGAATAGAGGAGGTCCATGTTTACCAGTGGACTTATAATAATGATGATTTCTGAGCAGCGAAGTCTTGTCGGCTGAAGTTGTTTTTATTTACTCGGACCTTGCTTCTTTTAATAGGTAACAAAATTCTGTGGACAACCGCAACCCGCAAGTAGAGCTTCTAAAACTATTTTTTTATTAATTACTTTTCCTCTGATGGCACTTTGTGCAAGTCAAACCGTGGTGTGCTGCGGCAGGTGAAATAGTTATGATCAAAGTTTTATTCAAATTGTATAACAAAATAACATTATGTAATAAAAAAATGTTCTCACTTCAAATTACGTACCTGGTGGACGAATTACGTAATTTCTAAAATAGTGAACCATGAGATAGTTTCCGCCAGTACCATTTTTTCTATCGCCTTCCGCGCATGTGATCACTAGAGGGTATAGATCCGGTTTTGACGTAACCTAAAACATATATTTATATATATATATATATATATATATATATATATATATATATATATATATATATATATTCAATTAGTTTATATTTTTAATGAATACATATGGCACTACTACTACTTTGTGGAAATCCTTTACTGCTGAAAAAACCAAATTCGAATTACTGTCGCCAAACTCTGAAGAGCTTAGAGCAGGGGTTCCAAAACTTTTAAATAACGCTCACTAAATTAATTTTATTTTATGAAACCCCACACCTAATGATTACAAATCAAAGACAGTGCAATTTAAAGAGGAACAAAAACATTTATAACAAATATTTTCAAAGTGAAATTATGAAAAAAAAAACTTTTTTGTGTTTTATTAATAATTGCTTTATAGTTCGGTATTAAGTTGTATGCGCATTTCTAGAGTAGCATCCAATCCAGACCTGATATTTGCTGTCTGTGTAAGCTGAAAAACCTGTTTCAATGTCCTAACACCAACTCAAACTCCCGTGAGGGAGACGCAGCCCACCACACCACGCACCCGCGCCGCGGCATAGTCCCGAATTTTTACTAACTACTTACGTACTTACATAACAGTAATGGGTTCTTTTCATCACATATTTTGCGCTTTTTCAAAATAATATTTGTACCTTATTGTGGTATTGTTTAAAAATCAAAAACAATTTCGCGGAACCCTGGTGACTTTACCACGGAACACTTGGGTTAGAGAGCCAGTATAATTACAGGGAGCTAGTAGTCCCGAGTGGTGAAAACGCTGTGTTCGTGGGCTGCGGTAGCCACTTACCATCAGGTGAAATGTTATCTCGATTTTCACTTTATTTTTTATTAGAAAAACATTAATTTTGAACATATATTAGTTTTGAAATAAGAACCTACTTCAGAATATGGCGGCGGAGCCTGATGGAAAGAACCGCAGCGACTATATCGTGGTGGCGGATATACTGAACCAGCGGAGTCATGTTCCGAATTCGGTCGTTGTATGCAGCACGATAATGAGCACATGTAACTGCCATGCGGACGCCGGAGGGGAAGGCACCACGCGCAGCAGACACCTAAGATGCTCAGCAAACTACCACAGCCGAGAATAATGAAGACTGACCTGAAATTTCGGAATAACAGGAACTTTACTTTTAATAGTTTTTATAAGCGACAGTAGCCTAATGGCAGAGGCTGAGTGGTTAAGGGATATTAGTAATGTTTTGTATTTTTCTTTTTTAAATAGTGAAATTGAAAAAGTTTAAATACATTTACACAAGTAACAAAGAACCAATTTTAATTTCCGCTATGAAAATCCTCCATTTTCAAAAACTCGGGAAGTTATGGGTTTCAACCAAAGTTTTAGAAAATCGAGGTTTTATCAGATCTTTAACCTTAAAACCTCATAGGAAGCTATTCTGATTTATTCCTACGACGATGTCACTATGTTTGTATGTATAACTTTTGAACGGCTTAGCCGATTTGAACGAGTTTAGTGGCGTTTGAAAGAGTTTCACCAAACTTAGATTTTCAATATTGTTGTAATCGATTTGCGATAGTAGATTTTGAGAAATCTCAAAATATATTTTCAAAAAAAAATTTTTTTGGAATATATTTTAAACAGATGTAGCGATCAATTCCAAAATATAATCATCTCTTAAACACGAAAAATGACATCGATTGATGTAAATCGCTTCAAAATCGGTTAATGCGTTGAAGAGATATCGATGACGCAATTTTTAAAAAAAGTGTGTTTTTCACATAACTTTTAATTTATAGTCTAATCTTTTTTATATTAAATTATTGCTCTTAAAATACCTCTTCGATTGCCATCAATTACATCAAAATCGCTTGATCTGTTAGAAAGTTATCGTTGTCAAAATAATTAAAAAAAGTGTTTTTTTTAATAACTTCGAAACTTCTGCTTGGATTGTTTTTGATGTAATGAGTTAACTATTAGTTCGTTAAAATCGAACATAGCGGGAAGTGCCAGGGATGGCCTACAGGGTCAACCGTTTTTCAGATTTTATTTTTACGAGTGTTCTTGGTTCTTCTACGCACTATAACTTATAGTGCGGAACCAAGAATGTATGTCAGTTTGATAATTTTATTGATGCTTTGTTATACTAATATGACAATACATTGAAATAAAAATGAATTCCCATCTCTACAAGAAGCTACTGGAAGATATGCTATATGATATGCTATTGATAAAATAAACAAAAGCAACTTTAAGCAAACAAAATGTAGGTACTCATAAGTGGTAGTGTCACGCTGCAGCTATGTTATGGTTGTAGCACGAATGGAACGGCTCGACTAGAGTAGGACCTTGCTCTCACGGAATACCAGCGTAAAACTGCTGTTTCGTATGGTGAGTGTAGATAACCTAAAACCTTTTTTACTGGAAGCGAAGCATTCCATTCCATCTGAGACCACAAGGGTGACAACACGTCTACAAATTAACAATAACAGAAAGGCATTCGACTCGGTGCCCCATACATGGCTAAAGAGGGTCCTCGAGCTGTACAAGATTGACTGTACAGTTATGGGGCAGTGGAGTACGATTCTCTGTTATCTGGGCGAGCGGATGATGGCTGAAGCGGATGATGGAAGAACCACATAAGGGTAAGAAGGGGTATCTTCCAGGACGATTGTCTGAGTCCAATCTGGTTCTGCCTCTCTCTGAACCCTCTCAGTACCTTACTGGAGGGCTCCGGGAGAGGATTTCAGCTACGGAAGGGAGGAACAAAAGTGACCCACCTTTTCTATATGGATGACCTCAAGTTATTCGTCTCCAGTCGCTCCTATCTTACGGAATTGCTAATCATCACTTGTGAATTTAGCAATTCTATTGGAATAGAGCTGGGAACGGATAAGTGTGCGGTCCTTCATGTTGAAAGGGGAAAGGTTACTAACTCTGAGGGCATAGACTTATCTAAGCCCGTCAACTTAAGGACCCTTTCCGAGGGTAAAACATACCGATACCTGGGTATGTCACAGAACATCGATATCGATGAGGCTGGTATGAAACAGTCAGTTTGCGACGTGTTTTATGCACGCTTGACCAAAGTGCTTAACAGCCTTTTGTCCGGTGTAAATAAGACACACGTATATAAGGTTGGTCTTACCTTTGGCATACTCAGGTGGACTCAGACCGAACTTAACGCCCTGGATAGAAAAGTCCGCACTACCGTACTTGCCGCGAAAACATGGTGGGCGTGGTTTTCTGAGCGCGCTCACCATGCATAATCGTGAAGTGTACAGCCTCCGTCATTACTTTCTGGCGAGATCGGATGATCCATTCTATAATGACGTCATTTCTAGTGATAAAGGGCTTAACCCTAGCCTTAGCAACGAGCAATGGCAGGACCCAGCAGTGCTTAGCATTTCCGACCGGGAGACCGTATGGAAGGAGAAGGATCTCCACTGGAGGTACTACAGGGCTCTTCATGAGCCCTTCGTAGATACAGTCACCTCTCCCAACTAGCTACGTTTCAGTGACCTATTCGGGGAAACCGAGGGTTTTGTCTGTACAATACAGGATCAGGTTATTAAGACCAACAACTATTTGAGATACATCCTAAAGGATGGCACCGTCGACAGCTGTCGAGCTTGTTGCCATCCCGTTGAGTCGCTTAGGCATGTCATCTCCGGTTGTTCGGCGCTTTCTAACTCTGAGTACTTGCACAGGCACAACTTAGTAGCCAGAATTCTACACCAGGAGCTCGCTCTGAAATACGATCTCGTGGACCGAAAATTGCCGTATTACAAGTACTTGCCGGAAGCCGTGCTCGAAAATGACAGCGCCAGGCTCTACTGGAACCGGGCCATCATCACAGACAGGACTATTCTTGCGAATAAGCCTGATATTGTGCTGATGGACCGGGCACAGTCAAGGATATTTTTGGTCGATATTACCATCCCGTATGACGAGAAACTCGTGAAAGCCGAAACAGTTAAGCGAACAAAATATCTGGACCTGGCTCACGAGGTGACCGACATGTGGGGTGGTCTGCCGACCGAAATTATTCCTGTAGTCGTCTCTGCGAATGGGCTAATCCCAGTTAGCCTCTCTGGTCATCTGAGGCGACTGGGACATCGTCCGCCGTATTTAGTCCTAAACGCACACGCACACGCACGCGCACACGCACGCGCACGCCCCCGCACACGCACGCTCACACGCACACGCACACGCCCACGCCCACGCACACGCACACGCACATGCACACGCACACGCATACGCACACGCACACGCACACGCAACACGCAAACGTAAACACGCAAACGCAACGGGGCAACTGCTTAGTTAGGCCGGTGACAAACGCAAAATATTTATATTCCAGCTGATAAATGGAAGCTAGGACATAGTTTATAGAAGAATTTAAGCCCCGATTAAAATGTGAAATTATTTTATTCTTTTTTTGTTCCTTAAATGTTTTTAACTCCTGAGTTGACTAAGGAATATTGTAATCTCAATGTCGTCTAAATAGTTAAATATAATAAATACTACCCCTATTTACCACCCTTAGAGGTGGAATTTACCTCTAAATGTATATAAAATATAACCTTTCTATTAAATTAAATTAAAAAAAAGAATTATCAATTCTTGCTGCAGCCTTAAAACTACTGCAAAATAGCTCTACCGTATATCATCATCATCATCAGCCTGTAGCAGTCCATTGCTGAACAGTAGCCTCCAAGGCGCTCCACTTAGCCGGATCTTCGGCTACACACATCGAGTTTCTACAACCTTGCCCAGATTGTCGCTCCTTCTGGTCAGGGGGCGTCCCACATTACGTTTGCCTAGACGCGGTCTCCACTCTATAACACGTCTACTCCACCGGTTGTCACTTCTGCGACAGACATAACCAGCCCACCGCCACTTCAGCTTATAAACACGGAAGGCTATGTCAGTAACCTTGGTTCTCCGGTGAATTTCTTCATTTCGAATTTTGTCTACCAGAGAAACTCCAAACAGCCGTATCGTCAGTGTCCACTTTTAGGCACCATAAATGAGTACTGACAGAACGCACTGGTTGAAGACTTTTGTCTTCAGACTTTGTGGCCCAGCCTAAATGAATTCTCCGATCGGCTTCCTTCTCGAAGTTATTCTTACCTAGTTGCAATATCTGCCCGAGGTAAGTATATTCCTGAACAACTTCGAGAATTTCACCACCAATAGTAATTGGAACTGGCATGACGTGATCGTTGAACATAACTTTTGTCTTGTTCAGATCAGCTCAGCACAGCTCAGATCAGCACAGACCAACACGTTGGGAGGATTCAATTAGTCTGTTCAGCATGTCCTGAAATTTCTGCAGCAATTCTGCCATGACGACGATATCATAAGCAAAGCGTAAGTGTGATATGTACTCACCGTTTACGTTAATGCCGCGTCCTTTCCAGTCTAGCGTCTTAAAAAGGTCTTCCAGTGCATTTGTAAACAGTTTAGGGGATGTAACATCCCCCTGTCTCACTCCGCGATGTAACTGGATTGGTTATGTTTGACCGTCCTGTACTTGGACGGACATTGTACTGGTGTTGTAAAGGTATCTCAGCACTTTGGTGTACCGGCAGTCAATTTGGCACCGCTACAAAGAATCCAAAACAGCCCAACTTTCGAATTTTCCATTTTTAAGTTGACTGAGGGCCAGCCCAATCTGCCCAAGGCAGATGTCTGGCAGCTCGTCTGTATAGTGGCGGATCAGCGTGGCTCTGGGGTTATCGCATTTAGTGCCAGGTTGTGAGACATATAATGAGCCATAATAGTGTTCGATCTCAGAGAGAACCACAGGCTTTGACGTGAGGAATTTGCCATCATGCGTCTGGAGTTTTACGATGTTACTTCTTCAAAGCTCCCGAGCAAAGATCTTGGATCCCTTGTTTTACTGTATTTCCGCTTGTATAGCAATTGCATTAGAGCGACGCAGGTCCCACTTCACAGCTTTCCTCACAAGCTTGGTTAGTGTTACCAGTTTCGATGGTGATGCTTTTGTTTGCTCACGCCTTCTTTTCGTGAGCTGAAGTATCTGATCTGAGAACTTCAACTTTCGGCCCATATGTTGCTTGCCACAAAACCTGTTGCCTTCACCCCTTAAGATCTTGTTCACGCTGGTAAAGTCCTCGTCAATATCCAAAGTGGGGATCAGGGCATCGAATCAGTATTTAAGTTCTAGCTGGAAGCGTTGGGAGCTAGTGATGGTTTGAAGCAGATTTGTTCGAATCGTAGACTTCATCAATCGGGACCTTTCAAGCGTAAAGTCCATATTCAGAGTGCCTCCAGCAAGTCGGTGATTGCTTCCGGTATTAAATTTGTTGATCACTGAGACATATCTGAATGCCTTTCGTCTGTCATGATGAAGTCAATCTCATTTTTGCAGTGTTATCAAGACTGCGCCACCACTTCCTTTGTGGCGTCTTTTCTAAAAACAAGTTCATCAAGATTAGTCCCTCTTTCTCGAGGTAGTTGACCAGCATTTGCCTCCAGTGATTTCTGCTTCCAAAACCGTGGAGTTCCAAAACCGATTCAACGCCCGTGTGCTTACCCACTTTGGCATTAAAATCTCCCATAACAACATGTAATGGGCCTTAGTGGTGTTACGTAAGGCTCTAAAAATGTCTTCATAAACAGTTTCAACTTCATCATCCGAATGTACCGAGGTTGGTGCATAAACTTGTACGATCTTCAAAGAGTATCTCTTTGATAAATTAAGTACAAGGTATGCTACCCGTATCGACACTCTGGAGATTTCTACAATGTTCTTAGTGAGGATCCTATGAACGAGGAAACCTATTCCACCTTGGGAAAGGCTGTCTCCCTCCCGAAAGTAGAGCAGATGGCCCGATTGCACGGTAATTGTGTCTTCCCCCTCTCTTCGGACTTCACTTAACCCTACAATATGTCATCTTATATTTTCTACTTTAGCTTTCAGTTCGTAAATGTGTCCGTCTTGCCGCAGAGTCCGCCCATTATACGACGCCAAGTCCAGTTTTTGGTGGTAGCCTGTCCTCTCACGGGGATTCTTCGAACCCCCCTGCCCCACACTTCCCATGACCGCCACCACGGCCAGGAATAATGGGGCGACTGGAAACTGGGGGCCGTGTTTTTGTGGTACTACTCATTGGAGGATTTGCCCTTAATCGCCACGCTGGGCAAGCGCACCTGTGACGCTACTGCCCATCACAGGTCTGGGCATTTTATTTTTATAAGGCATTTCCCTCTGTCGGCTCGTATGACATCCACGGGATGAAAGGAAGTGACAGTCTTCTAGGCTTCTGCCACACATCATACCGTGTGTAACAATAACGAATACGAATGAAACATAAATGTACTTACACTGTTATAAATGAAACTATTAAACGTGTACGGGTATATACTTACGAAAATCGGCCAAACTAAGAGAACCATATACCAACGATCATGTATGCGTAAATATATAAATGTCAATGAAACGAGAGAGGTGCGTCACGACCGTGACAAATGAAAGTCTAACTCTGCCTACAATAACTTCCAGGTGACACAGTGGTGAGTTTATGTACCTTTGTATAGTCTGTTCGCTTAGATACGGTCGCCTTTGTATCCAGCCGCTTTGGCACGTGCCGCATCTTGTCAAAGGCGCCGCCGGGACATCAAACGCATGCGGCGAATACACGCAGGAGAATTTGACATTTTATAACGAAGCGCCCGGGCCTTAATGAAAGGTTCTTTGCTAACTGACTTGTATTTATTATTTATATTGATATTTTATTAATATAACCATAAGAAAAACATAGTATTCTATTTTATTGTTTGTATAGAAAAACATTTATTTAACAAACACAATAAAAAAGCTAAATTATAAGTACGCCTTCGGATCTACAAACACCATCTTAGTGAACAGACTATAGGTATGTATGTAAGCATATTCGTATATTGAACGCAGCGCTGAGTGTCTACTTAGTATAAGAATAACATACCAATACCAATTAAACATAAATGTACATTATTATAAATGAAACTATTAAACAAACATGAGTATTTACATCTAATATCATGTTACAATT